TTTCCTTTCCTTTCCTTTCCTTTCCTTTCCTTTCCTTTCCTTTCCTTCCCTTCCCTTCCCTTCCCTTCCCTTCCCTTCCCTTCCCTTCCCTTCCCTTCCCTTCCCTTCCCAAACCTTCCCAAACCTTCCCAAACCTTCCCAAACCTTCCCAAACCTTCCCTTCCCAAACCTTCCCTTCCCTTCCCAAACCTTCCCTTCCCAAACCTTCCCTTCCCTTCCCTTCCCAAACCTTCCCTTCCCAAGCCTTCCCTTCCCTTCCCAAACCTTCCCAATCCTTCCCTTCACAAACCTTCCCAAACCTTCCCTTCCCAAACCTTCCCTTCCCAAACCTTCCTAATCCTTCCCTTCCCAAACCTTCCCTTCCCTTTCCTTTTCCCTTTTCCTTTCCCTTTTATATTTAGTTCAATTCCAGTGAGGAAGGCTGGAAACAATTGAACTATGAAAAAGGAGAGTGGTATAAAAGGGTCCACCCATGTCCTAAATAGCAATAAAACATACCTGTCCTGGGTCACAAGGAACATTGTGGATATGAATTGCTAAAACAATTCAAGCCAAAAAGATATTGGGGCCCATCTGTTGTGCTAGCTGAATGTGGGTGCCACACATCACCAATCTCCTGAGAACAGGAGGACACAGTGACACAGCTGTCTGCACTCTTGGCACCCAGAGTATCCAGCCAGGTGCTCCACTCCAGGGTCGCTGGGGTAAGCTAAAATTCTTAATAGCTCTGTTTTTGCAAAAGAGTTTTTCCCCCATTGTATATTGGAAATCCCTCCTAAAACCTGGAGGACGTTACTTCTTTATAAAGAATATGTTTGTAAAGTGGATAATTTCCAGATGTGAAATCGTTTGGCAGACCTTGCAATAACAATTCACTACTCTGGGTTCTCAGCCAGTGCTGGGCATGTGGTTACCTTGGGCATTTTCAGGATCCATAGTAGGGAAAATGACACCTTTAAATAGAGGGAAAACAAACAGCCTAATAGGCACCTCGTGGCAGAGAGCACCTCATCAGGTTTGTCCCAACACATTCTCACGTCATTGTTCAATAGGGTAACAGGCCATAAAAGAATGAAGCAGCTACTTTCCTTTTCTGTCAGATGTTGCAAGTTACTCATATTTCCTGTTCTGCTATTTAAAGGACTAAGGGCTGAAAATGGGAGTTCATTAACTTGTCTGAAATGAAATATTTTCCTGTCTTTCTACAGCCAAGCTCAAATGAGTGTCACTAACACAGGGCTGGAAGGCATCTCTGAGGAGCAGGTAGTGGCTTCTGCCCTGAGACAGGACTACCCGTATGAGAAGCTTAGGCTAAAATCAGGTGTAGGTTGC